TTGAGGGGGGGGGCAGAGAGGAACAATATGATAATTGACCATAAAAACCCTTCACCTGGAAGATGTGTCTTTTAGTAAATTCCAGCCATGAGCTCCTTTGCCTAGGTCAGTATTGCTGGAAATGCTTACATGCAAGCCAGGCTCCTTATACTGGAAAAAGAATAGATAAACAAAGCCTGCCTCATAACACAAAAGGGACATGTTCAATTGAGCCACCTGATTGTTTATAGAAAAATGTTAATGTGTGAAAAGCCAAAGGACTATACCAGACTAAGAACAGTTACTGTTAAATGAACAGTAACTCCTAATGGTTCATCTACATACTTCATCTACCCCAATGTTGCTACTTAGCACACTGTGGTGATATATTGAATCATAATGTGATATAAAATTTACTTGAAAAGCAGAGAACAAAAAAGCCACCAGATTAAATTTAGAGGCCAGGCAGAGGTGGCACACACCTTTAATTCTAGCACGTAGGAAATAGAGATCCATCTGGATCTCTGTGAGTTCAAAGCCACCCTGAACTACATGAGATTGACTCAGTCTAGGAGAGAAACAGAGCCAGGCAGTGGTGGCACACACCTTTAGTCCAAGTACTTGGGAATTACATGCCTTTAATCCCAACACTTGAGATTTCATGCCTTTGTTTGGGAAGCACACATGCCTTTAATCCCAGCACTAAGAAGGAAGTGATGGCTGGGTGGAGAAAGGTATATAAGGCATGAGGAGACAGGAACTATGGCTTTTACAAGCTGAGGCATTCTGGAGGTAGAATGTGGCCATGGTGTGGTGATATTTTATTTGTGCAACCCAATAAAGCTTATCTGGGGATCAGAGGAAAAAGCCAGCCACTATATTAAACATAGAGGTCAGGCAGTGGTAGCACATGCCTTTAATCCTAGCATTCAGGAGGCAGAGATCCAGTGAGTTCAAGGCCACACTGGGAACAGAGCCAGCCATGGTGGCACATGCCTTTAATCCCAGCACTAGTTAACCATAGAGGGTTGGAGGTCTGGACAGACATACAGGAAGTGATAGAGCTGGGAAGAAAGAGAAAGTGTTGAAGCTGGGTGAAGAAAGGAAGTAAGATGGCAGAGCACAGAAAGAGCTATAAGGGATGAGTATATAGGAAGTAGGTCTCTTGGGCTGAGGGTTTCCTAGCAGTAGGAACTTGTGCCTGTGGCTTGTTCCATCTCTTTGATCTTTCAGCTTTCACCTCAACATCTGGCTTTGGGTTTTTTATTAACAAGACTGTTTAGCAATTCACATTACATAGTGTCTTGTTCCTTTGTCTCTCTGATCTTTTAATATTTACCCCAATATGTGGCCCTGGGTTTTTATTAAAAGACCATTTAGCAATTTGTGTTATTTCTGGAATCAAACTTTTGGGACACAAATTCACGAAAAAGCCACTTGCCTGTGGCTCAGGCCAGAACTACACTCAGGAAGAGTCCCCACGCTGCCAACTAAGTTTTTGTTGTAACCCTCTGCAGCAAACTTCATGGGTTTTTGGGCTCCCAAAACTGCAGGAGTTAGCCACTTTTGTACATTTTCCCTTGCAGATGGCTGAATCTTTCATTTCTTTTCTCTGCTGATAGGGTTTGGCTTTCTCTGTGCCTCCTCCTTGGGCAGCTGCCACAGCACCAACTGAATTGTCATTGTCAGCAGATTTGGTGAAGTCAATTGGGATTTCTTAAAGGGAGAAATTAGTTAAAAGAAAGTTTTTCCTACATTAAAACATGGGAAACATTTTTATGATGGAGGGAGTTTGTTCTATGATTGACAGTCTGAAAATATAACAATGAAATGAGAGGATAATTAATGTTGATGACATTTATGTAATGTCAATTATAAATATTTGCTTGATCATTTCTGTTTTATTAAAAAAGTTGGTTAATATGAGTGCAAAGATAAAAGTTTTAGAAAAACCTCTTAAAACAGATCATAGAGATAATCAGACCCAGAAAGAAGAATTTATAGTATAATTAATCTCAACATTGCATTATAAGTTTACATAGAAACAGCCTAAGGCTTTCAAACAGCCAATCTTAATCTTTCCAGTAACTTTATAGGAACTGCCAAATGATAGATATCCCAAAGACTGTGTAAGAGCTAAATGGACTCCTGTGAAAATGTTTGACTTGAGGATATTCAAAGAAGCAATAGTCTCATATGGCATCCATTCATCTTTCATGAAGCAAATGTTAAACTCGTGATCAACTTGAATAGAATTATCCCTTAAGACTGGAGATATTTGGTTACAGTGGTCTTAGAGGCTTGTTCCCAATTACAATGGAGGACCTGGTGGAAGGATGAAGCTAAGATCATTGAACAACAAAGTAGGGCTAGAGGTATTGAAATGTCCCAAGATCAACTTCTTGGTGAGGGTGATTATGCTGATATACAAAGACAATTTCTATATGATTACCACAAACTCAGCTTTATAGCCTTAAATGCTTAGGACAAAATTGAAGAAATAGGAAAGAAAATTGAGCCATTTACTAAAGTTATATAAGGTCCAAAAGAAACCTTCACTGATTTTTTACAAAGACCAACATCAACAGTAAATAGAAGGATACCAAATTCAGAAGCTAGACAAGTAATAATTGAATTTCCAGCTTTTGAAAATGCTAATACACAGTGCAAAAGGATAATTAGGCTATTAAAGGCAAGGTCAGCATCCTTGGAGAAATGGATCTGAGATACAATAAATATTGAATCTTATGACCATAATGATACATGGATAGGAGAAGTGATTTCCAGAGGTTTGAAGTAAAAAGTAATGTCAAATATTTCAATTGTGGTAAATAAGGACACCTAAAAATGCACTCTTCCTAGAAACAATGTTTTTGTTAAGAATAATCTCAACACCACACCCCTCCATTCTGGATTATGTTGAAGGTGTGACAAAGGCAAACAATGGACTAATGAATGTAGGGCAACAAGGAACAGACAAGTTAATCCTTTGCCTTTGCCATTGGGAAACTTCCTGAGGGGCCTCTCACAGGCTCCATGTCAAATTTGGTTCAGTTCTTTCTGTCACCATGGAAGAAATTCCTTCTCAGAGCAATTAAGGAACCTAATGCCAGGGTTGGGGATTTAGCTCAGTGGTAGAGAACTTGCCTAGCAAGCACAAGGCCCTGGGTTCAGTCTTCAGCTAAAAAAAAAAGAACCTAATGCCTATTGTAAAAAAAAAAAACCCCACACTTCCCTGGATGATAGAAAAGCTATAGAAGAGAGAATAAAAAACTCTGGAGAAACCACAAAGTGAATTATTTGGTAAACTGCTATAAATGAACCAAGACCAAAATTAAAAATATGAATAAGTGATGTTCTCATTGAAGGTCTTGTAGACACAGATGCAGATGTAACAATAATTGCACCAGAATCTTAGCATCCAAATTGGCTTCTTCAGGAAGTAAATGTTTAGCTGTTAGGGACTGTAACATTATCCCAAGTGAAACACAGTGTGAGATGGGTTGAATGTATAGGGCCAGAAGGACAGAGAGAAAAACTAAAGCCATATGTGGTTAATATAGCTTTGAATTTATGGAGACATGATTAATTGCAGCAATGAAATACCCAGATTAACATTCCTCCAGTTTCAGAAACAAACCATTAACTAACATATGTTTCTGGAAAAAAATATTAGAAGATATAAAGAACAATCACTGACCATCCAGTTTGTACAAAAACAGGGCACAACAGCTGCTGATCTTTAAAGACACCAACAGCTCTACCTTTAAAATGGTTAACAGACAAGCCTGTATGGGTTCAGCAATGGCCTTTAACAACAGAGAAACTACAGGTCTTAGAACAGCCAGTTAAATGCTCAGCATAATGAAGAATCAACCAGCCTTTGGAATTCTCCTGTATTTGCTACTTAAAAAAATCTGGTAAATGGAGAATGGTAACACATCTAAGAGCTATTAACAAAGTAACTCAGCCAATAGGGTCTCTACAATCTGGAATTCCTTTGCCTTCTCTGTTGCCTAAATGATGGCCTCTTAAAAGACTTTCTTCTTAATACCATTACAAGAAAAAGAAAGGGAAAAATTTGCCTTCATGGTGCCTACTTATAATTCTCATCCTGTTAAGAGATATCAATGGAGGGTTCTCCCACAGGGAATGTTAAATAGCCCAACTATGTGCCAATGTTTTGTATGATAGCCATTGCAAGTAATACATAAACAATTTCCTCAATCTACAGTTTACCATTAAATAGACAACATATTACTAGCTGATTCAAGTGTAGATACTTTAGAAAGAATGTTTGAAGGAGTAAAGAAAGTTTTACCTTGTTGGGGATTATAAATTGCTCCTAAAAATACAAAGAGGAGCTGGGTGGTGGTGGCATATGCCTTTAATCCCAGCACTTGGGAGGCAGAGCCAGGCAGATCTCTGTGAGTTCGAGGCCAGCCTGGGCTACAGAGTGAGATCCAGGAAAGGCACAAAGCTATACAGAGAAACACTGTCTCAAACAACAACAACAACAACAACAACAACAACAACAACAACAACAACAGCAACAAAATACAAAGAGGAGATTTAACTAATTATTTAGGATATAAAATAGGTGTACAAAAATTAAACCCCAAAGATGCAAATTAGAAGAGATCAATTACAGACACTTAATGACCTTCAAAGATTATTAGGAGACATTTTGAAAATACAGACCACTATTGGGGTAAAAAAATGATGAACTGAGTAATTTGTTCATAACCTTAGAGGGTGACAAGGACTTAAACAGTTCAAGAGAATTATCAGGTATAGGAATCATCCCTTATATATAAATCCCATATGGGCCTGCCAGGCCCTCTAGCACAAGATAATGATGAGACTGATTAACTATTGACAGGAAATGTGGTGGAGGTCTCAGAAATTCATAAAAATTATTATGTCAGTAGTAAGGGGTTGAAAAAGGATTTTTCCATAATCTGGCAAGAAGCCAAGGGAAGTATAAGGAAATGTCCTACCTATTTTTTATACAATAAAACTCTACTACCTGCAGGAAGTAACTCAAAAGTACTCATAGGAATGACATCTAGCAGATGGATGTGTTTCATTTTGTAGTATTTGGAAAATTAAAATATGTATACCACACCATTGATACCTATTCAGGATTTCAATGGGCAACTGCTTTGAGTTCCAAAAAGACTGATTCTGTTATCACACATTTCCTAGAAGTTATGGCCATCATGGGTATACCTGTAAAAATCAAGACTGACAATGCTCTAGCATATATCCCTGGTAAAATGAAACAGTTTTTTGCTTATTACAATATAAAGAGTATTACAAGTATACCACACAAATTCTTCAGGCCAAGCAGTCATAGAAAGATCAAATTGAACTCTAAAGGTTATGCTAAATAAACAGAAAGAGGTAACAACCCCCCCCCAGAAATAAATTACATAATTGTGTATTAATGTTAAATTTTCTAAATGCTAATGAGAAAGGAACAACAGCTGTGGGGAGACATTGGATAATAATAATATATAAAAAACTACAGAATTAAATCAGCCTGTATATTTTAAAGATATCCTGATGTCAGAATGGAAATCATGGTATATGTTCCTTTGGTGAAGAGGTTTTGCTTTTGTTTCCATTGGAGAAGAAAAGCTATGAATACCATCAACATTGATAAAGGTTCAATTTGAACAAGAGAGATCTCATAATTAGAAGAGGTGATACCTCATCAACCAGTGTGACCATTCAATTTAAATTAACTTATGTAACTAACAAAAGCTTTTCATTTGATCAGATATAACTTGCCAAAAGGGAACCTCCCCAAAGTTATGATTAGGAAAGGGTGCTGTGGGATGTTCTGCTTGGCAAATGTGTTGCTCTGATTGGTCAATAAATAAAACACTGATTGGCCAGTGGCTTGGCAGGAAGTATAGGCAGGACTAACAGAGAGGAGAAAAAGAACAGGAAGGCAGAAGGAGTCACTGCCAGCCACTGCCAGGACAAGCAGCATGTGAAGATGCCGGTAAGCCATGAGCCACATGGCAAGGTATAGATTTATGGAAATGGATTAATTTAAGCTATAAGAACAGTTAGCAAGAAGCCTGCCATGGCCATACAGTTTGTAAGCAATATAAGTCTCTGTGTTTACTTGGTTGGGTCTGAGCAGCTGTGGGACTGGCAGGTGACAAAGATTTGTCCTGACTGTGGGCAAGACAGGAAACCTCTAGCTACAGAAGGGTTTTGTTTTTGCCTTTCAGGAGAATGAAGGCTAAGGAATCTGAAGAACACTGGACAAATTAGACATCTGAACAAAAAGAACAAATCATCCAGAAAAAATATCCCATGAAAAAGGTTTTCTGCTGTGAACTATGACCTGCCTAGCAGCAAACATTGACATCTCCAAAAAGATGATGGGATCCCACAACAATGAGTCCATCAGGACAATGATAATGCCACTAAGCTGACAAACACCACCCAAAGATCAGTTTTGGACTTCAAACTGCTCAGGACAATATTGAAATGGCTAGTTGAAATGACATAGCCTCAGAGACTACTCCAATCAGGACTTGACCATAATACTAAATTTTCTTTGTGTCCCCATGAGACTACCAGTGCCTCCAATCAACAGTAAGTAGCCTAGAAAACTGTTCCCACATTCCCAAAAAATGGATTATGGATGTTTGTCCTTGTTAGGGTTGGTTAAAGATTGTTATTGGTCATAGTCAATCTCTTTCTAAAAGAAGAAAGGAGGATGTGATATAGAAATGTATTATATAGAAATGATAGGGTAAAAGGGTAGATTATTGAATCTACTCTGAAAAGAAAAAAGGGAAGATATAGTTATGATAAGATACAAAGGTAGATTATTGAATCTACTTTTAAGAAGTAATTACTAGTTTTAAGTTTTTTACATTGGATTTTTGTATATTGTATACAAATTTTGTATATTGATACAAATTATAGATTAATTTTGTTAGAACATTCTGTACATATACTTCTAATGTTATTTAAGGTATTGTACTTATACAGCTCATTTAATAATGTAATGCAATTTTCTAGTCCTTGAAAGTTATTACCAGCTATTTAGGATAATAAATAAATGTAGGTTAGTTGATAATGACCTATTACAATGGAACTTGTCAGGTTAGGTATGTTTTCAAGGTCAAATGGATAGATTTTATATAGACAGGTCATCTTCAAACACTTCAGAGATCTATAGAATGTAGCATTTAAGATGTTTTAATAACATAGGTTCTTTTGTTAATGACGATGATACGTGTCTGCTGCTGGCAGCACCAATCTACTTCAGAGAAGGTGATGTGCATCAAAGAAGCTCTATATGGAGTTTACTTTCTTTGTGGCAAGTTAGCCACTGGGCAAGAAAATTCCCTTGCCTCAACTACTGACAGTATGCTTTTCAAATGGATAAGCAGGACACACACAAAAGGACTGCTGACCTTTTCATGTGGTCTTCATTTACCATGGTCTCCTATTCCTTGTTCT